AATATTTAATGATGACTTGATGTTGTCTTTGAAGAAGTGGTGAAATGAGCTACAAATCATACAGCTATTTTAAATCTTCACACTGACAGTGAAGTTTGCATGGTACTGTAATCCAACATGGTGAAACAGACATGAACTCCATGGACTCTAAGGTTTCATCACCGATTAAGCTGCAACTCATTTAAATTCCCAGAACAACCCATGTCATTTTTTATGCATGTATGTGGAGGAAACAGAATAGATTTGACTCTATAATTGTTTGCTCATTTTATAGGTCCATATAGTATAAAGGCAGATGTCCATGTGTTGTTTGATTATAAAACAGGTCTAGGTTCTATATTAATACTGTGAAAGTATCAAAGCCTCAGTCCACAGAGAAATGCACACAGCCTGTATTCAGAAACTGAGCCTTAAAACCATCTGTCAGAAATTCTGGAACTTTATGATGTCACAACAAAGCAATCACCGCCCTCAGCCATGCACCAAGCCCCACCCAACTGGACCCACCATCCAACCTTGCAGGATTTGGTTTTATCTTAAATCTGTTATATTTTTATTGGATCACTCAGAAAACAGTCAGCCAATCAGAAGAGAGGCTCAGAGCCTCCTCTCTTCTGATTGGCTCACCGACCTGTTGTGACGAGAGCTCCAGAGAGAAGCCTGATAGAGGAGATGTAAAATTACACTACACCTAACATGGTTTTTGGTTCTTAAAACCACAAATATATATTCTTATGGATCAACACTTCAAATAAAACACTAGAGAAGAGGAAAATATGGAGCTTTAAGTCACCTGCTGGTCTAATGTGGCTAATAACTGATAACATTAGCATTATATTATGCTTCTTAACAAATTAGGTTCTTCCTCATGTATGCAATTTGTTAATACCAGGCCACAGCTGTCTCATGTCATGATTTCATGAGACAAAAACCATACTGGGAAGCCCCAAAGCCCAAACATATTTAAAAATTGATTGGGCCCAGGCTGCTCCCTAAGGCAGTACCAACCTGAAACAAAAGTCTTGAATAAAAGAAATGAAAGAATACTAAATTAGAAACAGCAAAAAATATTTATTCACCAGTCAAAACATAAACTTCAAAGTATGAGGTCTGAGGACTGAACTCCACACGGTGATGCATGCATGCTGAGACTTCTTTTACCTGATGACGTTTGTTTCAAGGCGACCTTTAAGTGCTTGAACAGAATGTACTGTGCATACTGGTTTGTGTGTTTCTATTGTGTGGGAGGGGTTTGTTGGGTTAGCAATAAAAACATTGTTACTGTGATGTAAAGCATACTTCCTAAGTAATACCTACTTTGAAATCAGACCCAAATTTACACATCAGGCGGATTTCAAAGAGCACAAAAATATAAATACAACATTGTAGTTTGAAGAGAAGAAATTGTCAGGATATGAATTAACAGGGAGAAGATGAATTAGTCAATGAACATAAATAGGCAGGTCTGGGAGAAGAGCTTGCAGCATTCATGCAAGATGATGGGTGTGTTTTTGGTTCGTCTTTTATTGGGGAGTGGGACTTTGCAGAAAGGAGGAAGAGTCTATCCAAACTTGTATTCTTCCTCAGTACCAAGCAGGCGAAAAAGTGGTGCCAGTGGTCGCGGTGGGTTATCAGTTCTCGAGGAAAGCCACGTAGTCAGTGAGTCTGGCCAACTGCTGCTCATTTGGAACCAATGAGACGGGGGGAGGATCTGTTGAGTGAGAGGAGAGGAGAGAAACACGGAGGAGGAGAAGTTGAGTCAGACCGGGGATTCCTCATAGTGCCAAGAGCTATCGATCTTCTTACGTCTCTCCAGTTTTAACTCTATAGCCCACGTGTTCTAGCTCTGAGAGACTCAGGAGGGCACAGGTTTCAAGTTCATCAAGACATGAGCTCAGTGCCTCCCCCGAACTGTTTAACAACATCACCTACGGAGTCGCCCATGTGACCGTGAGACACACAACCTGGAGCTCACATCAGGAACCACATTTAACATTAATCCCAACCAGGATGATTTCCTGTGTGAGATCCACTCTACAACCAAAATCACCAAGTACTATTAAGTTCCTGTGGCGCTGTGGAGGGGGAAAAAACCCAGACATGTGGGGATTAATAGTGAGTGGGTTAGCGTTTTTTGGGGCTGGACATGTGCACAGCAGATGCTTCAGCAGTAAGATCTGATGATTACAGAGGGGAAGACAAACCACAACCTCCTCCTCGTCTGCAAAAATCAATAGGTTTCTCTTACAATCAATCCGTGACCCTCTGACTTGAGGACATGTGATGACGTGATATAAATTCAGACAAAATAAGGGAAGGCAGGTGAAGAAAGGGAAAAGAATGGAGCAGGGAAGTTTGGAAATATGGAGTTAGCAAATGAAAAACGTCAGTAGATTCTAGGAAAAGAAAAAGGTCATCAATCTTTCTATGGGATTAGAAATCTCCCGTAAATCCCTGGTCTCAACATTTTTATGAGTGTTTAATAAAATGTAGGAGGAAGAGTAACAGGAAAGCGGGTGCAGGATTACTCATGAGGAGAAAACAACACAACAGTGGGCTGATGATGGGCACAATTTAAAAGAGCAATACTGCCACCTACCTGGCTTTTTGGGCATCACCATCCTGGTGGAGGGGTCTGCCTGCCAGCCTTGGCTCACCACACCTTTGGACAAAAACAGAAGTGGGAAAGGAGAAGAAAATATGCTCATCAGTAAATGTGTGAAGTATTATGAAATGGAAATTAACTGCATTACACCCCTGTGGAATATATTATACAAAACCTTTTTTTTTTTTTTTTTTTTACTACTTTTTTGAATTATTTAAACACGAGTGTGACGGTAAAACTTTTCTGTGAAGAGGCTGTGTAAAATTCAATCTTACCCTTTACTGCCTCCTCCACTGAGTAGCCAACAAAAGCAGCGAAATCTTCTGCTGTAATGGAAGTGTAGGCCTGGGCCACGAGACCGTACGCCCTTTGCCGCGTGCTCTCTGTGAAAGATCCATGAACCAGAGACATTAGTATCAGATACATATGGAGCGCATACATGCTGAAACAGGGCTCTGGCTCTATTTAAAGTGCATGGAGAACATGGCCAACTTACTGTGAACTTACAGACACAGGAACAGTATGTTGTTATGTCATTTTAACATGGTATTTCAGAGTCTTGTTTCTTGTAAACAAAACTGCTAATTAGCAACAGCACCGTGTGCAACTATTAATCAAGAGTGACAGGTGTTTGAAGCCAGGGGCCGTATGCTGCTATGATCATTAGCAATCACAGGTGTGTGTTTTGGTAAAATGTCAAGTAAATGCTAAAAGACTGTGTGGAACACTTTTCATTTCATGTTATTCCTGCTCTTGCAAATTTTCCATCTTAAGGTTCAGTTATGGTAATTCTGTGAGTTTGAGTTAAGGAAGTTGCTTTTCATGATCTCAAATAAGCTACAACTCTAACTAGAGTTGGTCTGGGATCTAATATAAAATAAAGCTTGTCCAAACAAAAGCTCTTGTATGCCTTGATTACTTTTAGCATCTGAGTTTGCTTTAAGTGAAATGGTGCATTTGTTGTCAGGGAACCTTTGATTTGAGTGTCAGTTAAAAGTTTTTTAAAAAAATTTCCATAATCAAAAATACTTCAAATCAAAATGTTAAAGGACGCATTTTTAAGATGAATTTTGCACGTCATGAGCAGTGCTGACGCTCTACAAAGCACTGAAGTCTTGAAGTCAGCAGGCGCTGGCTTAGGCTTCCCAACTATCCCAGCTGCTCTATTTTTCCAGCCTGACTTGACATGGTGCTGTCGTTGGTGGAGATAACGGTATGAGTGACAGGGCCTCACAACAGCAAGGAACAACACACACCAGCATGTATTGGCTGCTGTGTTTTATAGCCTAGCAACGGTTTATGTGTATCAACAGTCAGCTCCCAGTCTGTTGCAGCAGTAACAATAACAAGTGGGATGGATGAGAAGAGACAGCTGTGAGGGGGAAGGCTGGAGATTTGTCAGGAGTGCTTTCCCATTCTTCTGTCCAAGGGGCTTCCTGTTCTTCCTGTTATTGCACTTGTCTAAAAATATGTAGAAATACTAGAAAAATATACACTTAAAGACAATTAAAGCAGTGCTCAATTGTCTTTCAAGTTACTTCATTTGTATTATAATATGGCTTTTAATCAAAGTTATGTTTGTAGCGTAACCTTAGTCCTTCAGACACTATGATGATTAAAACATCACCATTTAATGGTGTGGTTAAAGAGAAATGTGGATGAAATATTATTGTTTTGTCACTATGCTGTCTCACTGCTGATGAATGACTAAAAGAGTGACTGTTTTTCCTCTGTAAAGTATAAAAAGTCCCATGTGTTAAAGGTCAACAATGAGTCACACTTCATAAAACTGCTTCTTGTGTTGGACCAACTGCCTTGCACCTGACTGGCTGTGTATTAGAAAAGAAATGAGGACTCAGAGCAAATGCTCGCCACAGACGGCCAAGCAGGTCATCGCAGGGGGCTTTTTGTAACCCAGTCCCCAGGCAGACATGTATTTTTACCTTGGCCTCTTGACCATTAGGAGATGACTCCTGTGGCAAATGGACCAGCCTTTCTTTAGTATGCCCTTCTGGCACTTTGGAGTTGGGTTGGAGTTGCTGAGCAAGACGTCCATGCGTGAGATAGCAGTAGTTTTATGGAGGAGAAACAGGACCTGGTCTCTCCTTCCCTGACAGTCTATTCCAGGGCCACTATCATTTCTCAGCCTCTCACCTCTTAAAAATAGCCCCTACTTTTCACCGGCAAAGGCAAAGCAGGCAGGACATGGCAAGGGCTTTTATTTTTAAATACAGTCTATTGCCAAGTAAGAGCAGCAACAGGCTGGGAAACATTTTGATAGAAGCACTCCAAGGACAATCTATATTACCAAAATAATACTGGGTCTTCATGTGTTTCTTCCTTTAATTTAAATGTCATGTTAAGCCGTAAGATTAACAATAAAGAAAATACATTGTTAACTTTCATGCAGTTTTATTCCGTGTTCAGTTAAAGACAGACTTGGTAATTACAGGTAGATCACTATTCAACACAAAATGAGAAAAACTACTAAAACAACTATTTTTCATAAGCTACATATGAAGAAAGTGATGTGTATGCCATCTTCAGACTTTCTACATTTACATGTATCTACCCTATTTTTCCATAAATGGTTTAGAAGTACAAAAGTATAAAAAAAATTAAGAAAAGGTACGAATACGACACTGAAATTAAATATTGCACTGAAAATAGGGGCAAGCCATTTTAGCCCACTTCCACTGTCACCTCATCTTTCATTCTACATCAAATACAGTCCCTGCCTTAAACACTTTTGTCAAAAAATCCTTCAAAAGCTCAAATTACAGTATTTCTTTCAAGTCCATAAACACTTTCACTTTTAATGTTTATTATTCCTCTTCCTCTTCTTCTTCTTCTTCCTCCTCCTCCTCTTCTTCCTCCTCTGCATCTTCAAATTCATCATCATCACGCACCCCAAAGTCCATTTTTCCTAGGACTGCTTCAACATGCTCTGTTGACAAAGTGAAGTGGTCCATCTTCTCGAAGCCTGGCTCTGGCCTCTCCTCCCCCAGTGAACCTTTAGCGGCATCTTTGGTCTGCATGATGAGGCATTTGGAGGCCAACAGAAACTCTGCAGCGCCACTCTGCTCCAGTGCTCTCACAGCCGAATCTGTGAGCTCTGAACTGGCCTGCAGTCGTTCACCATAGCGCTGAGCTAGTGCTCGCAGAGCTGCCACCTTTTCATCTTGCTCTTTACCAATCTGCTCTAGTAGAATGGTCTTGCGCTCTTCAAGGACGGCATACAAAAGGTCAAAGCGTTCGGCTAGCCCTTGCTTAGCACACTGAGCGTTCTCCTGCACAGCACGACAGGCATCTTCCATCTGGTTGAGCAGAGCCTGCAGGCGCCCGTTGCTGGCTACCAGGGTATCGATAGCATTACTCAGCTCACCTTTCTGGGCCTGGTAAACACTTCCTAAAGGTGACACCTCACAGTCCTTATGTTGACCAAACACTTTGCACATGGAGCAGGTGGGTACTTGGCAGGTCACACAGTAAATGTTGATTTTCTCATCTTCGTGTTCCTGGCACATTGGTTCTTTGGATTCTTTAGGCTTCAGGGTGGTTTCTGGACTCCCACTGCCGCTGCCTTCTTGCTGCTGCTTGTAGATGTCGATAATATTTTCTACCAACAGGTTGCGTTGGAGCCCATGCACACCGTGGCGGTCAAGCACGACCTCAAACCGACAAGTAGGACAACGAAAGACACCGCCAGAAAAGCGGTATGGGTTGCGGGAGTCATAGAGGTCACTAGCACAGCTACGGCACAAGTTGTGCTGGCAGGGCAAGATGACCACAGGTTTGGTGAACATGTCCAGGCAGATGGGGCAGCTCAGCTGCTTCTCAAGGCTGTCCATGGGGCTGGGGGGTCGAACCATAGTTCCTGTCCTCTGGACGTCCATTGTGGAAAAGTCTCTACTTACAGCTAGATCAGTAATTTCCCAGAAGAGAAAATACTTTGACTCTCTCTGTTGGTTTCAAAAAGTTACAAAAATGGAGGGTGGGCTCTATCAGCTTCTCCTTGGTGTGAGCTGTTGAAATGCTGTTATCTCTTCTGGTTGAGAGCTAGCAGCTCTGTCCTTTATACCAGCCCCTAATAGCTGGTGACACCCAATCCTTTTGACCAACCAGAGCAACATTCCTGCCTGCTTGCTGCCCAGGGATCTTTTCAAAGAAGTGGCCCCTCCTACCCGGGGTGGCATGTGTCACATGTCCCAGTGGCCACTGTGTCCCTTCTAACAGTGACAGAGATGGTGGAGCGAGCAGAGACAAACAGGGTCCATGTGAGGCCCCACCTGATAGAGGGAGCTCGATCTCACTAGTAAACAAGTCAGTGTCAACATCCTGTGACTAAGTTGTTGTTTCCATTTTATGTCTTTTGGTTTGTTGTCATTGATTTGTTTCACATTTATATAACCTGTCTTACTTATTACTACAGTAAACAAAGTAAATTTGTCAGTGAGATTTTCATATTATCTTGAAATTACGTATGTAATGTAAGTATGTTTATCTAATGCTTTTTTATAAAATGTAAATTTGTGAATCCACACATCCACCAAATAATTATCTTCCCTGGTTGCATAAGTTTCTTTTGACATGCTGTACGTCAGCATCCATGGCAAAGCAACACAAAGTACCGTAAACATGAGGGAGTAGCTATTCTTGCACTCTTGCACAAGGGAACCATCACATGGTAGAAATGCCCCAACATTTGGGAGCATGAGGGGAATAATACAAATACTGTGGTTTCTCAAGATGATTCTTTAGATATGAGAAGAGGACGTGTGAAAACAAGACACAAAAAAATGTTAGGATACTCAGTTACATCATGAGAGAGTATCGGTGTAAGTATGTGAGGAGATAACTAATTCATATGAGTTCTGACCACCTGCATTACCCTTCATGATACCCATGTCATACTGCCAGATATTTTTTTAAAACGGTCACATTTGCTCCCCTCATTTTTTTTTTTCCCCTCAGCTGAGTTACATCATTACTTGAACTGAGTTCCCGCTCATTCCCCCTGCTGATTGTAATGATGCAGAGGAAATATAAATATTTAATTCACTATAGGGAATTTCACCACAGTTTTCGCAGAACCCAATGTGTAATGCATCAAAATATTTAAGTGTTATCAGTCTGAAAGGCTGCATGAGATGTAAAAAGGATGCGAGTGAAAGGTCAGACATGATTTTTCTTGTTACCTCGAAGGGCCTCCATGACTGGAAGGATATTCTCTGTCCACTGGTAAGCTGCGATGGATGTGTAGATGCCTGGAAAGTCTCGCTGCCAAATGCGCTGGCCAACAGCCCAAATAGCTGCTAATTCAGGGTTTGCCTGTATACAACAAGTGGAGAAGCATTTCATAATCTATCAGTATGCTACACTTGACAAGGCAGACTTTCATACTACAGTAAACAGCAGTCACACCCAAATACTTAAAACATTGAATCACAATGGTTCATTTTTTTTTTAACTGTCCTGTCCATTCTGAGGTTTCTGAGGCCAGATGAAACTACATTTTATACAATCTGATAACCTAAGCAGAGTTTAGCATGTGACAAAAAGTAGTGATCTGAGTGGCAATAACATTATTCAGTTTTTAATTGTACAATTGACATAAGATAATACTAAATTATTCTGGTTGTCTCAGCAGACACAGACTGTGTGTGTAACCAGTGTTGTGCATGAACGTTCATACTGATTTGTTTACAAAGGATGAACTTAAACGCCACATGACGTCTCCATAGACACAGCCCAGCGTGGCTGGTGCTAGCGGTACAGGTAGTTTTAAATGAAACTCATATCTGTGATTCTTCAGTGCTATACAATAATTCATTTAGTTTGGGAGTGGTAATGATTTGTGGCTGGTGATGGATGGTAGAAGAAGGTTCTATTGAAAGAGAATAGTGGCCTATTTATTAAAAAACAAACAAAAAAAAAAACAGAACAAATGAACGTGAACTAGTTCATTTTCATCTGTATGAACTGAACTTTGAACTAGTTCTTTTTAAGTGTGAACTGGCACAACACTGTGTTTAACAGTGCTGCTAAGGTTTCATAACATTATGATTTGCCAGCATTTATGCAATTATAAAACTCAAGGCAGCAAATGTGATGTTACTAACAACCAGTTACGATTTACCTACTGTTGAGTTATGTTTCTGTAATGGGCAGAACATGGTTGTGAAGAGGTAAAATATTGTGTGCATTTAGTATTAAATATGGTGTGTTCAACTTGATTAACAGACTTTAACTGATGTTACTCATTAATGCTGGCTTTTCAGACTCTGAATTATTTAGATGTCAGACAAATCACATTAAAACAAACAAAAATAAAGCAACAATAAAACAAATTTCAAGTTGTAATTACACACAGATGTTGATGTTAACGATATTTCCAAACTGAAAATTGGTAAATATAGCAACTTCAATACAATGAAAGCAACATGAGCAGTCCTTTGCAGGATAACATGTATAATAATGAAATGGGTTTGTTAGGACTGAGGGATATGCAAAAAAAATCATACTGTGATTATTTGGGAAGATATTGCGGTTATGACAGTAGTGACAATTTCAATTGGTAAATATTTCATCACCAAACAAGCATGTTACTTTACGTCTGGAGAAAATTATTTGTAGGCTGGGGCGTCTCTGCAGCGCCACATTTATGCTTCATTTATGGTCTGTTGTGGCACATTTTCCCTTTATCAAACAATTGCAGCTCCTGTGATTTGGATATTGCACTTGGCCATATTGTGATTTCGATGATAGTTCGACTTATTGCTCAGCCCTAGTTTCAGCAGTACTTCCTTAGCAGTGTCTATGCTGTTGTAGCATGCTTACCGATTTTATTGCTTGGGGAATCCTCTTCCATAAATACCTGGCATTATTCCTGTTGGATGCACATCAACACAAGTTAGTCAATACATAGAATAAAGTTGAGGAAGCAATACAACACAGGATCAGCAGTGAACAGAACAGCCTGAAGTTACCTACTCTATTTTGTTATAAACACATACATTATGCAATCCAACATATTATCTGCAAAGCCATCCATCTAAATCAACTGTTGTTCCTGCTGAATGCACTCACTCAATTTATTACTTTTTCTTACAACTCCAGGAATGAGAGTAAATTCACTTCTAAGAGGGCAGATGGGTTAAAGTTTTGTGTTGAATTTGAGTGTGTACTGCAGCTGTAAGAGCTAGAGTACACTTACATTGTGATTAGTGATCATGACAAGTATGTATTTACTGTAACAAATTCCTTTGCTGATGTAGTTCATATAAACTAAAAATGTATAACAACACGTATAATGACAAAATGTGTCTTCTGCATCTAAGAAAGTCTGGAAGGAGAGGAAAAAGAACATACCACCTGTTTTGTCAAGTTATTTTTAAATTCATGACACTAATATTTCTCAATTTTCTCAATCTCAAATCTGGAAAGGAATCATACCCCCAGACTTCTAATCAAAACACTGTATAAAAAACCATGTCAGCTACTGAAGACAGACACAAAGTTGACTTACATGTCATTATGAAGTAAATAGAGCGCCAGCAACTGAGCGTAGACTTGAGGTGTTGCAATGCCCCCTGGAGCCTGTTAAAAATAAATGCAGGTGTGTGATTAAAGGTTTAGGCTAAAATAAGCAGAGTATCGAGCTCTCTTTATTTCTCTAAAGAAACCACATTGTATACTTTGAGAATTATTCGCTGGTATACATTAGCTAAGTGATGTCAGCTACAAACTGCACCCGTTTAAGTCAGCACTAGCCAGTCAGTTAGTTATGTTATTTTGCTCCTTAGCTTCCGCTAACGTTATAGCACTGGTCATTTACCTTACATTATTATAATAATTATGAAGGTAAATGGTCAGTCCTAAATTTACCTGACGTCACACAGTTAACGTAGCAACATCTTTTAAACCATGAGACCTTAAACGACACTGTAGTATGAACTATAGCTATGTTTACCAACATAACGAAGATATCTCGCTAGCTAGCTAACTGGCTACCACTGTATGCTAACTTTATAACGATATCTGCCACTTCCGTTTAATTGAACAGTTTGTGGGCATTGTTCGCATGGTACATACTAATTTAGGAGCTAAATTGAAGCGTCAATGAATTTAATAGTGTGTGAAAGTAAAATTAGCCTTTATACTACTTAGCTTCTTAGCTATAACGTTATCTTAAACTGGTCATGACTGGCTGTCAGAAACTAGCAAGTCTTTAGCGGCAGAAAGCCTGTGAGACAACATTCAGTGTTGGAACAAAATTTTATCAATCTCACGATTCAGTTCTTACCTCGAGTTCTTGAGCTTCACACTGCTCTAATAATTTATCAAAATTTTCCTCCATAATCACAGCAGTAGGCATGATGATGCCTAGCTGTTGCACCGGAATCTTCTTCTTCTGCGTAATTGTAGTAGATTAGCAGCACGTCAGAGATGCTGGTGCCCTCATCTGGATGAAGCACAAACTACAGAATCAATCGCTGCGATGGAGATATGGTTGAAGATAGACTTTGCCTGACTTGATGGTCAACGTGAACTGGCGGTGACTGGAGTGGTGAAGCGTCTGCTACCCGTAGCGCGACTGAGCCCAGTTCACCTGTATCAAAGCAGCAGGTTGTTCACGCAACTCATTAAAAAAACTGCAGCTGTGTTTTGTGTTTTTTCATTTAAAACAGTGTTACCCTCAACATATCAGACTAGTTTGAAAACTTAAACTCGCAGTTTATTCACGCAAACATGTTCTAACATTTTCAGGCCGGACCATGTTTACATATGAAATTAAATAATGTTTTATGAAAACATTGAGGCGAGGAGTTAAGGTGTATGGGAGAAAGGTCACACATAGAATACTGGCTAGAGCAACACAATAGAGAGATAACAATTTTTATTTATTTCTGTTTTATTGAGTTACATTGACTGAGGATACTGTCAAAAACAAACAAACAAACAAACAAACAAACAAACAAACAAACAAACAAACAAACAAAAAACAAGGCCCACCATGGTGCCAGGAGGATGAAAAGAAATTACTTCTCCTACAATAACAAACTAAACTGTTTTGCTGGAAATTAAAACTATAGTGTCGGTGCCCTTATGTAAAAAAAAAAAGAAAAATGTGCAGCTAGAAGGAGGAGGTTATCTCTCCCCCCTCTGGAGAGATAACTACAACAGAATCTCTCACAATAAAAACATAGAACTTGCCTTTCGTGTCAGTGAAGCCTTCAGCCAATCAGGGTAAAGTTCTGTCGTCACAGAGGTGGTTCCCAGTCGGTGCAGCCAGAGGAGAGCAACTGCAGCCAGAGGAGAGCAACTGCAGGCACCTTGCTCCTGCAAGGTTGTTGGTCTTACACTACACTGTTAGTAGGGTCACCTGTTCTCTGTCAGCTGTTACATCATTGTCGCTGATGAGGCACAACCACTGTTGTGTCGCCAGCAAACTTAATGATGTGGTTGGAGCTGAAAGATGCCATGCAGTCGTATTTCAGCAGGGTAAACAGGTGTGGATTGAGTGCTGGTACTCAGTGTGGTGGTGCTGGAGTTGTAACTGCCAATCTGGACTGACTGTGGCCTATCACTGAGGTCTTCCAGGAGCGAGTTGCAGAGGGAGGTGTTCAGATCTGTAGCTGGCTCAGCTGCTGTGTTGGTGTTATGTTGTGGAATTATTGTGCTGAAGGCTGCACTAAAGTTAATGAATAGCAACCTGACAGGTGGGACAGGGCTAAGTGGAGGGGCGATTTTACAGCATCTTCAGTGGATTGGTTGGAGTGGTAAACAAGTGTGATAGACAGGCTGGACTTAATGTGCTGCAGGACCAGCCTCTCACTTCACGATGATAGGTGTGAGTGCTATGGGGTGGTTCATTCAGACTGCACACAGGAGACTTCTTAGGCACAGGGATGATAGTGGTTGACTTGAAGCATGTGGGGATGCCCTCTTGGGCCAGAGAGATGTTGACGATGTCCACGAGGACATTTCCCAACTGTCCAGCACAGGCCTCGATGGCATAACCTGGGATTTTGTCTGGTCCTGCTGCTGTGTGACAGTTAATGCCAAAGAGAGTATTTCTGGTCATCTGGGGGAGAGATGGTCTTCATCACCTGCACATTAGTAGTCTTAGATGGCCTGGAAGCCCTTCTAAAGCTTCCAATGTGTCTCTGCTGTCAGCAAAGCGGCTTTTGATTCTCTGTGCATAATTTCATTTTGCTTCTTTGATGCACCATGACAGGTTCTTCTTGCTGCTATGAGAGCTGCTTTCTCCCTGGATCTGAATGCAGCATCCTGGATCCTCAGCGACGTCCAAACCTCTGCTGTCAACTTTTCCGGTGAGGTGATGGTTTTAGTGAGTGTCACATCATCAATACACCTATTAATGTGAGCTGCCACAGTCTCTGTGTATATTCCTCCAGATCAATGCAGTCCTCATAGGTCCTCATCTCTGAACCTTTTTCTGATCAGTGCTTTTGAAGCAGTGCTGCAGGGCTGAAACAGCCCACTCTGGCCATACTGTGATCATACATGGATTGGTCTGAAAAGTTTCAGGTGTGGTGTGTAAACTGGGATGAGCGTGACAGATATGTGATCTATTTATGTAAACAAGTTCCACTGTATCTTCTCCTCTTGTTGCAAATTTGGTATGCTGGTGAAATTTTGGCACAACAGATTTTGAATTTGGATGATTTTAGTCACCAGCAATTCTGAAGTTCTGTCTGGCCTTGCTGTTTGCTGAATGCTGATGCTGCTGTACGGCTGTCATCATGCCTCTGTCACATTAGTGTCAGGGAGGTGGAAGACTACTACAATAACAACAGTGGTGAACTCCCTCAGCAGATGTCCTGAACATCACAATCATAAACTCCAATAGCAGAGAACAGTGTTTGGACACAATATCCTTGCACCATTCTTTATTGATATAAACACACAGCCCACTACCATGAGCCGCCTACCAGACAGTGATGATTCCCTCTCTTCTCAGCAGCAAGTTAGCCTGTCCAGCTCAATGGCCATGTCTCGAATATTTCTATGTAGCCATGCTTGAATGAAAACAAACATGCATGCACTTAGTAGTTGTAACTCCAACTTGTTGTGCATTGAGTTAGCCAACAGGATAGATGGGAGAGCAGGTGTAGCGGGGTTGGCCTTTAGCCTAGCCTGGATAACTCCTCAAGTGCCGTGCTTCAAGATTCTCTCGCATCACTCTCAGTGCTTCCTGTGTTTTGCTGCAGAAAAGGTGGTCTCTTTAACAGGTCAGCGAGAGGCTGCTGCGTGCGTATGAGCATCATTATCCATCAAACTAACAGCACTGAACTCTTTCCAACCAGTTGATGTATTGGCCTGTGTTTAAAACTGGGGTAAACTATGTCTCACACTAAAAAGAGGGTTACCACCAGTGCTCCATCCATCATGAAAAACCCAACAATTATGTAACTGAGCGTCTGAGGGCGAGGTTTGATACTGTGTGAAATCCTTGACAACAGGGTCATTGTTCATGCAGGTATTAAATACAGATGGTATGAATGTGATTCAAGCCTCATGTTCAAAGTGGGAAAAAAGAAGTCATTGTTGGTTGATTTCAGCTAGTTGCCAGTTGTGAATGATTTCCTGTTTCCCAATCTGTTAAAGCACAGAAACCTGTAAGTTTAGATATATTCTTTGTCATTTCTCCCAAGGGATTTAGAGACAGTTTCTCTCCTTTTGCCGGTTGTTTTTTTACTTCTTTTAGTCTGGTCTTAGTGGACTCCACAGCACTGAGAGAGTGCCTTTTCTCCTTTCACTAATGATCCTCTACTGTCAGCCAATGTGGGGGATTTCTGTATTTTAATTCCTTTTTGAGCCATCTTCTTTGATGCTGTTGACTACACGTATTTTTCTACTCTAAAAAATGGCTTGGCAACTCAGGCAGAACTCTAATGTACTTCAACTCGTCTGACATTTTTTTTTTTAATTTTTTTTTTTATTGGGAATACATCTGCATTTTCGTTCATTTTGCCTTCTGCTGTAGGTGCAGACCTCTCTAAATTTCTTCAATTTCTTTCATTTTAATGACAGTAAATACTGGAGATTTATTTGAACTCTTTTTAGACTTTGTAGTCTGCTACAGTCTGACCTCAAAAGTCTCATCCAAATGTTACACCAGCTGTTTGAAACTTGGGAATGTTCTCTTAAAATCATCTTTCATGATGCTTAGTTTGAAATACTTTTGCAATCAAGATTCCCCCAGGTGAAAAGCAAAATATACTGATGTCAGTCATTTCTAAGTCTCACAATCTACTTTTAATCATAAAGATTAACAATAAAAACATGTTGCAATAATTCTCCAGAGGGAAAATATGCAAGTTAACAAAAAAAGAGGATGGAAATAAATGATGATCATGATGGTCAGGTGGTAAGTTTGTGAATGTGTGAATCAAAGGTTCGGTCTCAATCCCTTCTGTGAAAAACAACCTGAGCTCCAAAATCCTGAAAAACTGCCAGATTTAGGTTAAAAGGCATCCTCACATAAAGTATTCATGTTCTTGTGAACCCTGGATTGTGTGATAAATCCTTCATGTGCTTTTTGCATGATGCATTCGTTCAGACGCGACTGATCACGAGTTTAAAATGTGCATAAACCTGGTATCTCATGTGTGCACATGTTCTGGCATAGAGCCACACTACAGAAGGATGAATTCTATTATACATGAAGCTTATGATTCTGCAATGACTGAAGTCACCACTTGTCAGCAGCATTGTTCAAGCACTGCAGTGCTTGCATGTCCTGTGTCAGAGAGCTGGTACCAATCATCTGTGGTATAAAACACTGAAAATATATTTAAAATGTATTTATGATCATTATGAACCTGTTGACTATCTCAAGGCTTCTTGCCACTGCCTTTTATTAAATCAAATGTGAGGCTAGTCATTCATATTTTTTTTATTATTCTATTTATTTTGTTTTATTCAGTTTTAGTTGTTTTTTCTTTTATTTTACTTGATTCTTTTAAAATCCTAATCATATGTAATCATATTCTATATTGCCTTGCTTTTCTTTTACATTTTAATGCTTTTTTATAGTCTCATGTAAAACATTCTTGTTCTTGAAAGGTTCTATAGAAACATGGTTAAACTTGGCTGTTTTTTCTTTCAAGGATAAACACTTCTCCCAATATCTGCCAATATGTTCTACTATATCATTACTGTCTTTATATCAATACTATACTTTAAATGAAACAGTCTGATCCTCCATTTCCTTATTTACTGTCTTCTCATCTGTTTATATTAGAAAAGATGAAATAGAGATTTCATCTCACACTTGAACTGAAACAGCACAGTATGACAAACCAAGACAGTTGTTATTCGAGACGCTACCTTGATGCTCTTTCTCATCCTCAATAATTCAAACATTTCGTGACCAGATCCCCTGTTGTGATACGGGCTAATGGAGA